CCTCCCCCTGCGTCCCCCTCTGCTATCCTGGGCCATCGGCCCTGGCCAGCGACTCGTGCTGCTGCTGTCACGGCAGGGTCCAGCCCTCCCGCCAGCCCTGCCAGGCTTGTGCTCCTCCATGGAGCTGCTGTCACAGTTTTCCATGAATTCTGTCTGTTGAAAGGGACAGCGTGTGGTTTGTAGGATGTGTCTGACTGTCCCCACATCTGTGTCGCAGGTGTTGGCTCCTTCCTCCTGTATTCAGTCCACGAGGGCATCCGTGGCATTCCCCTGGACCCCAACGACAAGTCGGACGCTCTCGTGCCCGTGTCGGGGACCTCCCTGGCCGTGGGGATCGACTTCCATGCAGGTGACGCGGGGGCTGGGAGCAGGACAACAGGGCTGGAGAGGTCAGGGAGGGGGAGTGCGAGGGGGACCATCACCAGACCCTCCTTTGGCAGTGCTCTGGCCTAGAACATCTCCTCTCAGCAGCGCCAGGCGAGGGAGGGTTCCAGGTCCCCACGCCGGGGCCTTGGGGTGCAGCTCAGCCCAGGTCTGTGCCACCATTGGGGTGACCCAGAGGCGATCACTGATACCCGCTCTCCTGCCTGGCCCCTCTCAGAGAACGACACCATTTACTGGGTGGACATGGGTCTGAGCACCATTAGCCGGGCCAAGCGGGACCAGACGTGGCGGGAGGACGTGGTCACCAATGGCATTGGCCGCGTGGAGGGCATCGCTGTGGACTGGATCGCTGGTGAGACGGGCTCCGGAGCAGGGAGGTGGGCACTTGGGGACCGGGGCTCGTGCAGGTATTCACCGTCCCCTCTCTGCAGGAAACATCTACTGGACGGACCAGGGCTTCGACGTCATCGAGGTGGCCAGGCTGAATGGGTCCTTCCGCTACGTGGTCATCTCGCAGGGGCTGGACAAGCCGCGGGCCATCACAGTCCATCCAGAAAAGGGGTGAGAAACCGCACAAAGCCGCCCAGAGAGGGCCATCAGCTGGGGGGTGGGCACGTACTGGAGACCCCCAGCACCCTCCCAGCAGAGCCGTGCAGTTTGCCCACAGTGGAGAAGGACTCGTAGGTCTCCTGCCACACCAAGGGACAGGCCCCTGGTGTCCAAACCAGCTGGGTTTAACCACCCTTTCACTGATGGGCTAAGCTTCCTGGGAGCTCCCTGGGACTTCATGGGTGCCAGCACCTCAGAAAATCCAAGTGGAGCCTCCCCAGACCGGCTCCAGCTTTGGACAGAGTCACAGGGAGAGGACAGTTGTTTGGATCCGGGGAATGATGGAGAACAGCACCTTACATGACTGGCACACGGTTTGGTTTCTGCACTGCATCCAGCTGCAATGCCGTGCTCCTTTCCCCAGCTGCAGCGTGGTCTGCAAGCACGCGGCGGCCGGGAGGCTGGGAGATCACCAGGAGTCTGGGCTGAGGCCCTGGTGTGGAGGGATGAGGGAGAGAATCATAGAATCACCGAATTGTTTAGGTTGGAAAAGACCTTTAAGATCATTCAGTCCAACCATCAACCTAACACTACCAAGTCCACACTAAACCAATTAAGGGTAGACTAGACTAAACCATTCCCAGAGTGCCACCTCTGCCCGTTTTTTGAACGCTTCCAGGGATGGGGACTCCCCCACCTCTCTGAGCAGCCTGTTCCAATGCTTGACTACCCTTTCCGTGAAGAAATTTTTCCTAATATCCAATCTAAACCTCCCCTGGCGCAGCTTGAGCCCATTTCCTCTCATCCTATTGCTAACTACATGGGAGAAGAGAGGTGTTGGCCCTCTGCTCCGATGGCCAGGAAGCCCAAGGATGCTGCTTCTGGCCAGCCCCGTGGTCACATCCCTGCTGTCCCCTGCAGGTATCTGTTCTGGACAGAGTGGGGGCAGTACCCCCGCATCGAACGGTCGCGCCTGGACGGGACCGAGCGGATGGTGCTGGTGAACGTCAGCATCAGTTGGCCCAACGGGATATCCGTCGACTACGAGGTACAGCCGCTGGCTGGGAGGACGGTGCCGCCCCGGGGTCTGGCAAGAAGCGTGCCGGTCCTGAGGGTCCCTGCAGCCGTGCCCCTGCTGTGGGGCCTCTGGGGACATGGCCGCCCTCCCCCGGGCCCTGGAGCCTTCTCTGCAGCGCAGGGAGGGTTGTACAGGGTGGTCGTCCCCTCCCTGGGCTGGGACCTTCTGCCAGACGTGGTGGGAGGTGCGGAGGGTGCCTTAGTGCCTCCCCGGTGCGCTGCTCCATTGCTGACTGGGATGCTTTCCCATCGCCTCAGGATGGGAAGCTTTACTGGTGTGATGCCCGGACAGACAAGATTGAACGAATCAACCTGGAGACAGGCGAAAACCGAGAGGTCGTCCTGTCCAGCAACAACATGGACATGTTCTCGGTGTCGGTTTTTGAGGAGTACATTTACTGGAGCGATAGGTATGGCGCCTGAGGGGTCCGGTGGTGGAGGAGGGTGGGGGGAGCTGGCGGGTGCTATGGGGAGGGTGGCAGAGCTGGGTCCCGCTGCAGGGTGCTGCTGGGGTGGGCCCCCGCGTCGGTTGCTCAGTGACTCTGTCCTTTCTTAGGACTCATGCGAATGGCTCCATCAAAAGAGGCAACAAGGACAACGCCACCGAGTCGGTGTCCCTGCGGACAGGGATTGGCGTGCAGCTCAAGGACATCAAAGTCTTCAACCGCGCCAGGCAGAAGGGTGCGTCCGGGAGCAGGGTGGCAGCCCCTCGTGCAGTGCTGCTGAGCGCTGGCGGCCGCCCGGGCTGAGCTCCCACAGCGGGCAGATGCAGGGATGGGGGTGGAAACAAACGGGCCACCGTGTCCTCGTCACAGAACCGTGTTGCGCCGTGGGCTGAGCCTGGTTCTTCACCCTCTTCCTCTGGGAGCGGGGAGCGGTGAAAAGCGGCCAAGCGGGAGCATCCTCCTGCACGGAGCCTACCCAGTCCCCCGAACATTCCCCACCTTTCCTCCCCAGGCACCAACATCTGTGCCCAGAGCAACGGGGGCTGCCAGCAGCTCTGCCTGTTCCGGGGCAACGGGCAGAGGACGTGTGCCTGCGCCCATGGCATGCTGTCCGAGGACGGGGTGAGCTGCCGGGACTACGATGGCTACCTGCTGTATTCGGAGCGCACCATCCTCAAGAGCATCCACCTGTCAGACGAGAACAACCTCAATGCACCCATCAAGCCCTTCGAGGACGCGGAACACATGAAAAACGTCATTGCCCTGGCCTTTGACTACCGCTACGGCTCCAAGGGCAGCAACCGCATATTCTACAGTGACATCCACTTTGGCAACATCCAGCAGATCAACGATGACGGCACAGGGCGCAAGACCATCGTGGAGAGTGAGTGTCACGGGGCTCCCTCCGTGTGCATCTGCCCTCAGACCCCTCTTTTCTCCCCCACCATCTCTTCCTGAACTCCCTCCTTCCTCGCCCAAGGGCACAGGGCGCAAGACCATCGTGGAGAGTGAGTGTCACGGGGCTCCCTCCGTGTGCATCTGCCCTCAGACCCCTCTTTTCTCTTCTCCCCCACCATCTCTTCCTGAACTCCCTCCTTCCTCACCCAAGGGCTTTTTTTCCTTTTCTCGGTTAACATTTTTTGGTGTTTTCGAGAGGCGTTTTGAGTGGTGGCTGTTAAGGGTTCAGCTGTGAGCTTTCTACCAGAGCCTCTGGAAGAGGCAGCAGCCTGTGGTAGAGGATGCAAGTGTCAGGAGCAGTCTGCAGAGCTTGTTCTGGCAGGGCGAGCGTATCACGAGGCTCAGGCGTGCACGCGGGTATGCATTGCTCTAGAAACAAGGCACTGCAGCAAACTTGGGATCTGCTCCATGTTCGCATTTGACTTCCAAGACAGACCCGTTGAGCCTGAGCAAACCTTGCCATCCCTGGCCCTGTCTTCACCTCCAGCCCTCGGTTTGCACTCGGTTGGTTTTATTGGCTCCTACAGCAGTTGAAAAGACCTTGTCTGTTGCTCTGCGTCACCAGGGAGCACCTCCAGCAAGGGTTATAGATGTGCTCGCTAATGAGCGTATTTACATTTGGCACTTGGGATAGCTGTTATCACCGAGATCAGAAGAGCAGCGCCCATCTCTCATTGCCGGTTCATTAAACCTTTTACTGATCGTTAACGAGGGAGGAAGGATGGGTGTACAGTTCAAGTTCCTGGCCTGGGAGCTGGAGGGAAGGTCTCCCTGGTTGGCCACGAGTCTTCACCTTGTCGCTTTGTGCCTCTGGGCCTCAGCTCTCTCCTGGCAGAGGGAGACCCTTCCCTTCCCAGCGCCGCTGCTGCGGGGACAGGGGGACCTGGAGCAAGGCCCGGCCAGCGCAGGGGAGATGATCAGAGCACGAGCTTGAAAGCCAAGTTCAGGTCCTTGTTTCATCATAGGTGAACATGGCAGCCTTCCTGCAAGGAAGTGCGGTTACCTGGTCGGTAGCAGAGGTCGCCCAGGAGTCCCCTAAAGTCTCCTGGGGTCTCAGCTCACCTGTTAGCACAAACACCAGCCCAGCCCTGCTGGGTCCCCTCAGGTGCTGCTGCGTTGGCGCTGGGGTAGCAAGCAGCCGGAGCCTCCTGAGGGATTTTTTTGGGATGTAATTAAAAGCAATAACTTCAGGCTGCCAAAGAAGCCACATCCAAGTGTCACAGTCAGCACTGGCTGTGCGGAGGCAGCCGGGCAGCCTTGCAGGAGCACGGGCTGGACGGGACCCTTGCCTGTCCTCCCCTCCTGCAGATGTGGGCTCGGTGGAGGGGCTGGCGTACCACCGCGGCTGGGACACGCTGTACTGGACAAGCTACACCACCTCCACCATCACCCGTCACACCGTGGACCAGAGCCGCCTGGGGGCTTTCGAGAGGGAGACGGTGATCACCATGTCGGGGGACGATCATCCCAGGGCCTTTGTGCTGGACGAGTGCCAGAAGTGAGTGGCCATCGGTGGTCCAGCCAGCATGCCCAGGGGTCCACGTGGTCCCAGGGCCAGCATCCAGGCAGACACCCCTCCACTGGGGAGGAAGCACTGGTTCCCAGCACAGAGAGTATTGGACCCCAGGGAGGAAAGGGGTCCCAGCACCCGACATGTCTTTCAGCACCCCAAAGCAAAGGCAGAAACCCCGTCCCATCCCCTTCTCCGGCCAGCTGGTACCATGGGTGCCGTGTTTCCCAGCCGGCTGCAGTGGCCTCATTCATCCCCCTCCCACCCCTTTTTATGCGGGCACAATGTCCCATCCATCCCAAAGTCCTTGGAAGCCCCACAGCAGCAGAGGGGTGGGCTGAGCCAACGTGTACATGGCGGAGAGCTGAGGCTGCAAAGGCGTCGTGTGTCTCTTCCCTTCCAGCCTCATGTTCTGGACCAACTGGAACGAGCAGCACCCCAGCATCATGCGTGCCACCCTCTCTGGTGCCAACGTCCTCATCATCATTGACCAGGACATACGGACACCCAACGGGCTGGCCATTGACCACAAGGCCGAGAAGATCTACTTCTCTGATGCCACCCTGGACAAAATCGAACGCTGTGAATATGATGGCTCCCACCGCCACGTGAGTCCTGAGCTGGCCCCAGTGGCAGAGATGGAGGGAGAGAGCGGCGAGCGGTGAAACTGGGACTGGCACGTTGTCAGAGGAAAGCAGAGCCGTTCCTGGGGCATGGGGGGAGCCGGGCCTTCCCCTGGGGCAGACGCACGGGGACGGGCTGCGTTTGGGGTGGTGCTGGGGGCTGCATCCCACAGCCGGGTTTCCTCACGCTCACGGTTTGCCGATGTCTGGCAGGTGATCCTGAAATCGGAGCCCGTGCACCCCTTTGGCCTGGCCGTCTACGGCGATTACATCTTCTGGACGGACTGGGTGCGCAGGGCTGTGCAACGAGCCAACAAGTATGTGGGCACCGACATGAAGCTTCTGCGTGTTGACATCCCCCAGCAGCCCATGGGCATCATTGCCGTGGCCAACGACACCGACAGCTGTAAGGATGCCCCACACCCCACCCGTCACCTGCAGCCCCACCACCATGGGCCCCTGCCCCCCTGCCTCTGCCCCCTCACTCGGGCTGCTCAGCCCCCGGCCGGACAGTGCTGCTCTTGCACCCCGTCTGCAGGCCAGGGGAAGGGGGAACCCACCCCGCTGTCCTTCCTGTCCATCTCCGAACCCTGTGCGGGCTGAAGAGAGAGGGAATTTGCCCCATTTGTGCTCTTCCCAGGGCATCCTCCTTGCAAGATCTGGGGAGACTGGATACCCTCAACCCCATGCATCCCCCCCATAGCCCCATCTGAAGAGCATGGGGAGGGACCCCTGCTTTACCTCTCTGCAGCAGGGAGCACGAGGGGAAGGGACTGCTGAGATGTGCCTGGTGTGACTGCTCTCCCTCTCTCCTAGGTGAGCTGTCCCCTTGCAGGGTGAACAACGGCGGCTGTCAGGATCTCTGCCTGCTCACGCCCAAAGGACACGTCAACTGTTCCTGCCGCGGCGAGCGTGTCCTGCAGGAGGATTTCACCTGCAAAGGTGGAGGGGCGGTGGAAGCGGGAGCTGATGGGGACGGGAAGGGGAGGAGGAGAGCCCGGTCTCAGCCTGGCAGAGCTGACATTCCCCGCACCCTCCCCAGCCCTGAATTCCACCTGCAACATGCACGACGAGTTTGAGTGTGGGAACGGCGACTGCATTGACTTCAGCCGGACCTGTGACGGCGTGGTCCACTGCAAGGACAAGTCAGATGAGAAGCAGTCCTACTGCAGTAAGGTTCCTCCTCTTGCTGCTTTGCTCAAACACACACACGCAACCCCCTGGCACGCACAGGCACCCTGCTCGAGCTGTCAGCTCTCTTTGGCAAAGGGAGCCAGGACTCCTGGGTGTCTTCTTGTGTCCCTCAAGTGCTTGCAGTCCCTCTTGCCCTCCCAGAGATGGGCCCAGCCAGGCCAGGCTTTAAGGGCTCCAGACCTTTTCCAGTTTTCCGGGGCAGGCTGGAGAGTGGGACACCTTGAGCCGACCCGGTAGGGGCTTGCAGCTGCCTCCCTCTAACACCAACCCTCGCTCCTCAGCCAGGAGGGTTCTCTGCTGGGCAAAGGCCAAGCTTAACCCTGCGACATTGCCAGCACAGCACGAGGGAGCCTGTTTCCTAATCCTGCCCGTGTAGTTACTTCCCCTGCTGAAGGGTCCCTGAGACACCCGGGGGCACCGGCCCTCCCCTCATGCTCACCTCCTCCTCCTCCTCCCTCGCAGGCAGCCGCAAGTGCAAGAAGGGTTACCTGCACTGCATGAATGGGCGCTGCATCGCCAGCCGCTACTGGTGCAATGGCGTGGATGACTGTGGGGACAACTCGGACGAAGTGCCATGTAACAGTAAGCAGGCTGGCTGGCTCCCGGCCAGCCCTTGCCAGGGCTCAGTCAGCTGTCTGGAACGGGGACAGAGGCTTTGGGAATTACCTTCAGCTTGACAGGGTCAGAGTGGCGCCGGGGCTTAACGGAGAGTCAAAGTCCTGCTCATGCTGCTCGTGCCACAGACCACTTTGTAAAGCTCACTCCCTGACAGCTGGGAGGAAGAACTCCCGAGCACGGCCCTGCAGCACCCAGGGCCTCCCAAGAGCAGCGGTTTGACACCCAGGAGGAACACAAGGCGATGGCGAGGCATGGTGTTGCTGCTCCTCATGGCTCCTGTGCTCCTGAGGAAAGGGCACCTGACATCCCCAAGGGCAGCAGCCCGTCAGGGCTGCAAGGAGCCTGTCTGCTTGGTTCAGAACTGACGGGGAAGGTCGGGAGCTTCCCTGAGCCCGTCCCAGGCCAGCTCGGGAGACGAGCTCAGGCTGCCAGCGTGCGTGAGCCAGAGGCACCAGGTCTCAGCTGGGAGGGGACCGGAGCTGGGAGGGCAGGATCAGGCGGTCCATAGCTGCCCTGGTCAGCGGGTGTATGCGCATGCATGCGTCCGCAACGCGAGTGGGGGCCGTGGGGTGGCTGTACATGCGGGGTCCCCCAGCCCAGCCTCATCCACTGCGGGGGCTTCCCCCTTGCAGAAACCAGCTGCGCCGCTACCGAGTTTCGTTGCCGAGATGGGAGTTGCATCGGGAATTCGAGCCGCTGTAACCAGTTCATCGATTGCGAAGATGCTTCGGACGAAATGAACTTTTTTTTTTGCCCCAGCTGCTGCCCCGTGTTCCCTGCTGCCTCCCCAGCTCTGCCCTGCTGTAGCTCTGGAGATGCTCCTGCCCTCAGTGCCTGCGGGCCGGGGCCTGGGTCCTTGCTCCTCATTTCAGTCTTTTGGGATTTGTGCTGAGTCAGGGAGGGAGAAGGGCCCTGGCTCCCATCCCGTCAGCAGAGGCCAGCCCAGGTTAGCCCGCCGGCTGGAAGCGGCCCCAGCCCATCACCGCAGCCCCCCACGCCGTGCTTGGCACCCCACCGCCCCACAGCCCGTCGGAAGCACTTAATGTGGTCCCAGCAGCTTGGGGCACACGCGGGGCAGAGTCGGCTCGGTGCTGCTCTGGGGAGGGAAGGGCTGTCGGCAGCAGGGCAAGGGCTCGTGCTGTGCGGCGGGAGCTGGGCCGAAGGGCTGGGCCGCCGGGGGGCAGCACCCGTCACCTGGGGCTCCTGGTGTGGTTCCTTGCAGCCGCCACTGACTGCAGCAGTTATTTCAAGCTGGGGGTGAAGGGTACCACGTTCCAGAAGTGCGAACACACCTCTCTCTGCTATGCTCCGAGCTGGGTGTGCGACGGGGCGAACGATTGCGGAGACTACTCGGATGAGCGCAACTGCCCAGGTGAGAGCGGGGAAAGGGGGCTCGGGCCTAGGAGAGCAGGGGCATCGCACCGACCCTCGGGCTGGGTGCTCCCCTCTGGGGGCTGTTTGGGCGGCGGATGCTTTGTCTGCACACCGGGAGCGTTGCCCTTTGCCTGCGCAGCTCCGGCACAGAGGGTGCTGCAGGGCGCTGATTGATGCGGGATCGCAGAGGGCTTTTGGGGAGGAATCCTTTGGAGTCAGGCAGTTCTGGGTTGGGTGCCTCTGCGCCAACACCCTTACTGACGTTTCCTTCCCAAACCAGGCGGGAGGAAACCCAAGTGTCCGGCCAATTACTTCGCCTGCCCAAGCGGGAGGTGCATCCCCATGACTTGGACGTGCGACAAAGAGGACGACTGCGAGAACGGAGAAGACGAGACTCACTGCAGTGAGCGGCAGGGTGGGGAGAGCAAGGGACTCCGGGGTGATAGCGCGGGGCGGCGAGCGCAAGCATGCTGGAGGGGAGGCAGGACCCTCTCCTCTCTCCGACATCCCTTTGCCAAGGGTCAGGCTCCAGATTCTTCCCCCTCTGTGGTCTTATTCCACAAGCTTGGGCTTTTAACTGTGACCAGTGCAAACGTCCTTGTGCATTTGTCTGCTCGGCACATGCATGAGTGTCCGTGGTCATTTTGAGGATGGCCAGTTACAGCTCACTTGAGTTACATTTTTAGTTCCAATCTCCCTGAACAAACCCCAAACAGTCTCAGGAACTGGGGAACCTCCCCAGCTCCAGAGCGGGGAATCCCACACCAGTCCATCAGCACGGAGTGTGGGCACTGCCAGGTCTGGGCAAGCAGTAGCCCCAGCACTACCCCGGGCTCCAGCGCTGGAGCCCGGCTGGCCCAGCCTGGCCGTGCTCTGCTGCCGTGTCCTTCCCCCTGCATCGCCACAGCTCTGACCCCTCCTCTCCTCCTCTCCCAGACAAGTTCTGCTACCCCGTGCAATTTGAGTGCAACAACCACCGCTGCATCTCCAAGCTCTGGGTGTGTGATGGGGCAGACGACTGCGGGGATGGCTCTGATGAGGACAGCCGCTGCCGTGAGTCTGCTCCAGCCCCTGCTCTGACCTCTCTCAGTCTCTGCCTCACTGCTGCTCCATCTCCGTGTATTCCTGCCTCTGCCCATCCCTTCTCCCACCCTTGCTTTCCTGTGCCGTCGTCCTCGCTGCTCTCCTGGGTTCTGTATCTTGGGGTCCCCCTGAGATGTAGGGGCACGTAGCCCAGGAGTGCCGGTTCTCTGGTGTGGGGGTGACTGGCCTCCTTCCTGCTTCTCCTTTCCCCAGGGCTGACCACCTGCAGCACAGGATCCTTCCAGTGCCCAGGCACCTACGTGTGCGTGCCGGAGCGCTGGCTCTGCGACGGAGACAAGGACTGTGCTGACGGAGCCGACGAGACCCTCGCTGCTGGCTGCTGTGAGTTCCCAAAGGGCTGGGTGCGTGGTGGGGCCAGGGGCTGGAGAGGAGCCGAGTGCGGTGCAGGCAGAGCTGCCCGGGGGGCTCACCCCACTCCCTGGGGTCCCTGTCCGTAGCAGACGGGTAGCCTCGTCTGGCCGCTTCCCCGCCAGGCTTGCAGGAGGAAACTGCGGTGCTGTGGTCACAGCAGACCTGGACATAGGGACGTTTGGGTGGCTGGCTGTGAGGAGAGGAGGAGCGTTGTCCTGCGATAGCCAAAGGCACCACGTTGCCCGGGTGCTGTTCACAGCCACGGGACGAGGGTGCAGGCCTGGGCTCAGGCTGGGGGCTAAGTAGTCTGGGCTGTGCCTCAGCTCTTGTCCCTAGTGCCCCAAGACGAGAGGCTTGGGGGGCAGGCAGGAGAGCACGTGGTCTGGCGGGGAGCTGACAGCGATGCCTCATTGCAGTGTACAACAACACGTGCGACGAGCGGGAGTTCATGTGCGGAAACCGCCAGTGCATTCCCAAGCACTTCGTCTGCGACCACGATGACGACTGCGGCGA